TGAATGATGACCTAATCGATCATGCCAAAGTACATAGGTATTATTAGAAGTATGAGCCATATTAGCTTCAGCATGACGAACTCGAGCAGAAAAACAACCACCAAACTCATACAGACCATCAACCTCTCGACCTTGAAGCAAAACAACGCTAGAATCCTCATACCGAACTACACAATGATCAGCATGAAACTCCAAAAAAAAACATTGTTATTCCTAGCAAGCTTTGAAATTGAATCCAACTTCTTAGTTATAGAAAGCACATGCAACAAATTACTCAGTTTCAATGAACGAGATGGAGTATATAAAGATGCTTGACCAACTTTAGCAATATACGATCGGAACACCGAAAAAGAACAAACGACCCCTACCACGTCACAAGATCGCCGACGTCTGATACCATGTTAAACAATCTAAGAAAACTACACATAGAATATATTTAGAACACTCATAAAACTTTTCTCATCTATTCAAGAACTACTACAACATATTTATACAAGCAATGAAGGCTCTAACTGCATGAACGTCAGCATAACAGCTTTAACAACCTCATAACAGACTGCATAAAAACGTTGCTCAACATACACGCAACTACGTTACTATGCTTCAATATTGTATCATCTGAATTATAATTATAATTAAATATATAATTTACTCATAGTAGAAATATTAATGAATGCAAATGAAGCTGGAATGGGATTTATTATTAGCCAAGCTTTACATCAAGCAAAAGCAAATATCCCAGCTCTTGAAAATTTTCCTATGACATAATATCATATATATCCATTAATAGACGACGGATGGCATATTGACACTACTCCGACGCCCAAAAAGTCTGTTGTTTGTCCGCCGCTAGTATCTCCAACCTGCGTGCGCAGGCGTTTTGCAGGGTACATTTGCAGTTGATTCAAACCGGAAATATCATTCACCGGATTTTCTAACTCACTTTCGATACTAATAGGTGAAGTGTTCGACACATACATACCGTTGCTACACTTTGTTCCCAAGCTTCCTAGGCACGACGTGTCGGTCGACGTCGTGCCAATTTGAGCGGCTTTCTGCAACAAAGCCGTGGCCGACATATTCGCGGACGACGGCGGTTGATGAGATTGGAGTTGTTGGGTGCTAAACAATGAAGGAACACTTACGAGCAGAGCTCCGTTTTCCTTGACATTGTTCAACGGAAGCAAAGTGCTTGTAAGATCTTGAGCATGACTCGGTGACACGTTATTCCCTAACACCCAATTTAACTGATAACCGGATGCCGGAGGATTCGAAGTCCATACTAGAGGATCGGTGTATATTGATCCCGAATTCAAAGAACCAAATTGATGAACATCATGGTTCATCCATAAAGAAAGACCACATCTTGATTGATCAATTGATGTTTCATCAGTGCTGGAAATTGGTTTGAAGATGAAGAAGAAATGTTGGTTCTCCATTAGATGATAATTGATATCACTGCGCAAGCCGGTGGCTGCGTTTATTCTCGCCGTCTCCTCCGCCAGGGCATCGCAGAATGCTCTATGAGTAATGAAACTATCTCTTCTGCCCTCAACAAACCGTAAAAATCAATCAGGCTTCATCTTCAAGCTCTCTGTGAAAATTTGCAGAACAGAAAGTAAGGGTCTTTTAGATTTTACCTTGTAAATAGAGTGCCACAGCCGCATTTGTATTCCCTGGTGCCGCAGGTTTTTAAGTGAGCTTTCCAATCCGACTACACGGCGTATCGCTTTGAGCACTTGTCGCATTTCCACTTCTTCTCCCCATGCTTCCGACAGAAGTGTTTCTTTATGCCGGTGAGGTCCCCGAGAGCCCTCGATGGATGGTGATGCACGCAGGTCTTTTCCGGGCACACGTAGACGCGTTTTCTCGGTTCTTTCGTATCCCTTTGCTTCAGCTTCCATGGCAGGTTATGGCCTCGCCGGTGAAGTTGAAGGTTCTGGTCTCTTTGGAAACCCTTACCGCATATTTCACACAAAAATCTGTTGGTCGCCATTAAAGTCTTTGGGGACAAGGCTATCACTTCTGCTTCAGGATCTGGTAAACAACACGTATTAAAAACGACAATTACTTATCAAGATTAACATACAAAAACAAACATAGTACCTGGTGTTCCTGGTAGGTTTCTTTTCTTCTTGGCAAGTGGAGGATTGGATCCAGGCAAAGGATTTGTGACGAAAACAGCTGGAATCGATGCTTCTGCCATCCTCTTCTTACGAAGAAAGCTAAACGAAGATGGAATATGAATTATGTGTTGATCTTGTGATTAAGAGGAAAAACTCATTGATCAAGAGACTTGAGTGTATAAGCTGAGGATATATGTGAATGAATGGATCCATTTAAATCATAATTACATGCTTTTAGGTGGAATATAATAATATGAGAGATGAAAGGTTGAAGTTGAGAGGTTGAAGAAACCGAGAGGAGACAGGAGGTGGGAAGAAAGCTAATCTCCATACTTTTTCATTTGGAATGATTATCACATAATTTGTTTCCTTTTCGTTTTTTTTTTTTTGCCCTTTTTATATTCTCTTTGCAATTTTTAATTCAACTTGCATATATAGGTATATCGCTACGAAATTTGACTAAGGAATCATAAATCAACAACATATAATATAAAAAATCAGATAGGAAAAAATCATGCACACAGAAAATTTTTACTATATAATAAAAAAATTATACCAGTTACAAATTACGAAAACTTAGGTATATATAGATGTATCCAATTTTCTTTTCAAAATAACTATTTATCAAATATATCGTATTTCAAACTTTTTAAGTAGGATCAAATAAAATTCAAATCATAATATTTAATGTATATATTTCAACTATTTGAAAAAAGAACTAGCAAAAGAATCAATAATTGTTAGGTGTAGTGAAAAATCATTGTTTTAGAAATGATTTTACTTTTATCGGTGTAATTATAATATAAAGTCGTCTCTCAAAATTAATACAAAAACTTTTACTTTTTGTAAATCCAAATGAAATTAACTAGAGAACACAGCAAGAGAGAAAGCAAATTATTAGCCTAAATCATGTGTACGTCCCTGCCAAAATATTAAAAAATAATAATAATTTCTTAATTATTAAAATCGTTTGATTCGTATTACTAGACCTAATTTAAATAATATTATATAAACGGACGTGGTAATCTTAAATTTTGTAAAATTAACGCAAATACATTGCAAAAGCCACGGTGGGAATAGAGTGTAGTTTTGTCAATCGTTTCAAAACAGAGATGGTTGGCATAAAATCACTTGGTATTTCCTCAAGAAATCCGCCATGCACATGCACAACCCGTTCAACAAAGCTACAATCCAAGACAAACGACGAAAAAAGCACACAATCAAAAGCGAATCATCGTCCCATATCTGATGTCTTCACCCTCTTGACTCACTGGTTTTAGGGTTCCAAACATTTGTTTTATAAGAGGAAAGAGAACGATTCTTAAGTGATTAAATTTAAGACTGCCTCTAATTTCAACGTCCTTTTTAATCATCGATAGCATACATATATTCTTCGTACGTAATTATACGAATTCAGATTTCGTATATGATTAGGTTGAAATTTCAAAGGAAAGAGTACGAAGTCTTTCCCTATGGGTATAGGTAATGATGTTATCGATAAAGGCGTTGAAATTTTGGGAGGGAAGAGGTTAAAGGACAGTTAGCTGACAAAGGCAGTGAATATTTGGAAGAGAGAGCAGTGATCTGGTTGTAGGACTGACTTCCTCTGCAAAACCCATTTAATCATAATCTAATGATTTTCTGCTTTCTGGGTTTCTTCAATATTAATGTTTTGGACTTTAGTTGTTGAACGGTGGCGGCACCAGAATATTCTCTCCTCCTCCACCTGTTGAAATGTCAAAGCTTGAAAATTGGTTCAAATTAGGCACTTAATATTGCAATGTCAAAATTAAATGTAACAATGTCAAAATTAGGTGCAATAATGTTTGAAAATTAAATGGGTAAATTATAAACTTTAGTCACTAAATTTTAGGGTATTTATAAGATTAGTCCTTAAGTTTTAACTATAAATATCTAGCTCATTTAGCTTCAAAATCATCCCAAAGCATTCTAGCTTTCTTCCAATACTAGAGAGAATTTAGAGAGTTTCTTGAGATTTTTTTCTCCTTTTTATCAAGAGAGAATTATCATTGTTTTCTCCTTGGTAGATCGAGAGAAGTTGTAATTCCTATTTTCTCATAGTGAAATTCTTCTACCGTTGCACGTGGTTTTTACCCTATTTTATTTAGGGGGTTTTCACGTAAATTTTGTGTCTTCTTTATCTTTATTTTTATTTTCTCAAATTATCAGTTGCGATTTTGCTCTATCTGATAGCCGTCTTCCGCAACAATTGGTATCAGAGCTAGATTAGAGTGTGTAATATCTGCTTATTGTCTTTGTGGTTTCCACCAAAAGGTGGATCATCCAACATATGAAAGTAAGAAGTTATTACCCATTCTTTGAAGGTTCCAGAGAACTATTCACAATAGTAAAATAGTGGGAGTTATCCGTAAACGAAGCAATGGCAACGAAATTTGATATTGAAAAGTTCAATGGGAGAAATTTCTCATTGTGAAAATTGAAGATGAAGGCCATCCTAAGGAAAGACGGGTGTCTAGCGGCTATCAATGAAAGGCCGTTGGATTTCGCAGATGACATCAAATGGAACGAGATGGACGGGAATGCTATGGCAAACTTTCATCTAGCATTAGCAAATGAAGTATTATCAAGCATCGATGAGAAGAAGACAGCTAAGGAGATATGGGATCATCTCATCAAATTGTACGAGGCCACATCGATGCACAATAAAATTTTCCTTAAGAGGAAATTGTACACTCTCCGTATGCCAGAATCTACTTCAGTGATGGAGCACTTAAATACACTGAACACCTTATTTTCTCAGCTTACATCCTTAAGCTGTAAAATAGAAGAACAAGAACGTGCTGAACTTCTACTTCAAAGTCTACCGGATTCGTACGATCAACTCATCATCAACTTGACAAACAGTAATGTCACCAGTCTAGTCTTCGATGACGTGCAGCTGCTGTTCTACAAGAGAAAATCGGCGCAAGAACAAGGAAGACAGACAAGTAAATCTGCAACAAGCAGAAGCGTTGACAACGATGAGGAGATCAACAGACGTGGCCAAAGAAGCAGTCATAACATGGTAGATCGAAGTTGAGGAGCAAGAAGAATTTAAAGTGCTACCACTGTGGAAAGAAGGGTCACTTGAAGAATGATTGTTGGAGTCTAAATAAACTCCAATCCACAAGGCAATACCGCAAACACTTCAGATGATGGAGATGCTCTATGCTGTGAAGCGCCAACCACCGTGGAAGGCAGAAAAAGATTTGCAGATATATGGCTCATTGATTCGGGAGTGACATATCACATGACCTCAAGAAGAGAATGGTTCCATCAATATGAACCTGTCTCACGAGGATCTGTGTATAGTTGCAATGACATGCCTTAGAGATCGTTGGTGTGGGAACCATCAAATTGAAGATGTATGATGGAACAATTAAAGTTGTTCGAGATGTGCGGCACGTGAAAGGTCTGAAGAAAAATTTATTATCCTACGGATTGTTGGATAATAATGCTAGCAAGATTGAAACACGAAAAGGAATCATGAAGGTGTTCCGTGGAGCGCTTGTGGTGCTGAAAGTTGAAAAGATAGCTGCAAACTTGTATATGCTGAAGGGAGAGACATTGCTAGAAGCAGAAGCCTTTGTTGCCTCATGTAGTTCAGATTCTGCAATGCTATGGAATAAGAAACTTGGACATATGTCAGAACAAGGAATGAAAGTCCTTGTGGAGCAAAAGCTACCTCCAGGCTTAACAAAGGTATCACTTCCTTTGTGTGGGCATTGCATAACAAGTAAGCAGCACCGGTTGAAATTCAACACATCAAGTTCTAGAGGCAAAAGTGTTCTAGAATTGGTTCACTCTGACGTATGGCAAGCACCAGTAACGTCCCTAGGTGGAGCAAAATACTTTGTCTCATTTATTGATGACTACTCCAGGAGATGTTGGGTGCACCCTATTAAGAAGAAGTCAGACGTGCTTTCAACTTTCAAAAACTTCAAAGCACAGTGGAACTTGATTCTGGAAATAAGATCAAGTGTTTCAGAACAGATAATGGATAAGAATACACAAGCGAAGAATTTGATGACTTTTGTAGGAAAGAAGGCATCAAAAGACAGTTCACAGTGGCGAACACTCCTCAACAAAATGGAGTGGCAGAGCGGATGAACAGAACCTTGTTAGAAAGAACAAGAGCAATGTTGAGGGACGCATGCCTAGAAAAATCATTCTGGGCAGAAGCAGTTAATACCGCCTGTTATTTGGTGAATTGAGCTCCATCAACTAAAATAGAGCTGAAGACACCAATGGAGATGTGGACTGGTAAACCAGTTGATTATTCAAACCCCCATGTATTTGGAAGTATTGTGTACGTGTACAACGCCCAAGAAATTTCAAAGCTGGATCCAAAATCCAGGAAATGCAAATTCTTGGGGTATGCTGATGGAGTAAAGGGGTATCGCTTGTGGGATCCCACTGCCCGCAAAGTGATCATTAGCAGGGATGTTATCTTTGTAGAAGATAAACTACAAAGAAAAGAAGATGATGATAGCGCTGAAAAGTCAGAGACTACTCGATACATGTGGAAAAAGAGTTTGAAGAAGGATTCTTCTGAAGCAGAACCAGCACATAATGAACAAGAACCAGAGTTCTGAAGCTCCAACAACTCGTCAATCAGATCGTGAGAAGATGTCCCAATTGGCACTCATATGTTATAGAAGGTAATATTGCATACTGTTTTAACAGAGGACGGTGAGCCATCAACATACCAGGAGGCAATACAGCTAAGATGTTTCACTGTGGATGATGGCGATGCAAGAAGAAATCGAAGCCCTTCATAAAAATATACATGGGACCTTGTGCCACTACCACAAGGAAGTAAGCCAATTGGTAACAAATGGGTTTTCAAAATCAAGCGAAATGATGACGATCAAGTGGAGAGATATCGTGCAAGACTGGTGGTCAAAGGATATGCTCAAAAAGAAAGTATTGATTTCAATGAAATATTTTCTCCTGTGGTTCGACTAACAACAGTTCGAGTAGTTTTGGCAATGTGTGCTACATTGGACTTACATCTAGAGCAGCTAGATGTTAAAACAGCTTTTTCTTCATGGAAATCTTGAAGAAGAAATTTATATGCTCCAGCCTGAAGGTTTTGAAGAAAAATAAAAGAAGAACTTAGTTTGCAGGTTGAAAAAATCTCTGTACGGTCTATAGCAGGCGCCGAGGTGTTGATATAAGAGATTTGATTCCTTCATTATGTGCCTTGGATACAACAGACTTAATGCAGACCCTTGTGCTTATTTCAAGGTCTGGTGATAACGATTTTGTTATATTGCTGTTGTATGTGGATGACATGTTGGTTGCAGGACCCAACAAAGATCATATTGAAGAATTGAAGGCACAACTGGCTAGGGAATTTGAAATGAAGGACTTGGGATCAGCAAACAAGATTCTAGGGATACAAATTCACCGAAACAGAAGTAATAGGAAGATTTGGCTTTCACAAAAGAATTACTTGAAGAAAATCTTGTCACGATTTAGCATGCAAGATTGTAAGCCAATTTCTACCCCTCTTCCTATTAACTTCAAATTATCCTCTAGAGTCCTAGCAAGAAGAGAGGATGGAGATGTCTCGAGTACCGTATGCATTAGCAGTGGGAAGTTTAATGTTCGCTATGATATGCACAAGACCAGACATTGCACAAGCAGTGTGAGTGGTTAGTCGGTACATGGCGAATCCAGGCAAAGAGCATTGGAATATTGTAAAGAAGATCCTAAGATACATCAAAGGGACCTCAAATACTGCATTATGTTACGGAGGATCAAACTTACTAATCAATGGGTATGTAGATTCTGACTATGCAGGGGATTTGGATAAAAGCAAATCTACTACAAGATATGTGTTCAAAGTTGTTGGTGGAGCTGTAAGCTGGGTTTCAAAATTGCAGTCAGTTGTGGCTACGTCCACAACAGAGGCAGAATATGTAGCAGCTACACAAGCCAGTAAAGAAGCAATTTGGTTGAAGATGCTATTAGAGGAGCTTGGGCACAATCAAGAGTATGTCTCTCTGTTTTGTGACAGTCAAAGCGCCTTGCATCTAGCAAGGAATCCAGCATTTCATTCAAGGACTAAGCACATACGAGTTCAATACCATTTCATTCGTGAAAAGGTGGAAGAAGGAACGGTAGATATACAGAAGATCTATACCAAAGACAACATAGCAGATTTCATGACGAAGGCAATCAATGCTGATAAATTTACCTGGTGTCGATCCTCTTGTGGCCTGTCAGACTAAGCAACATGATGGTACAAGGTAGAAAGAATGGTGTGAAGATATGATTGTTCCAATCAAATCTTCAAGTGGGAGATTGTTGAAATGTCAAAGCTTGGAAAATTGGTTCAAGTTAGGCACCTAATATTGCAATGTCAAAATTAGGTGCAACAATATCAAAATTAGGTGCAATAATGTTTGAAAATTAAATGGGTAAATTATAAACTTTAGTCACTAAACTTTAGGGTATTTATAAGATTAGTCCTTAAGTTTCAACTATAAATACCCTAGCTCATTTAGCTTCAAAATCATCCCAAAGCATTCTAGCTTTCTTCCAATACTAGAGAGAATTTAGAGAGTTTCTTGAGAGTTGTTTTCTCCTTTTTATCAAGAGAGAATTATCATTGTTTTCTCCTTGGTAGATCGAGAGAAGTTGTAATTCCTATTTTCTCATAGTGAAATTCTTCTACCGTTGCCCGTGGTTTTTACCCTATTTTATTTAGGGGTTTTTCACGTAAATTTTGTGTCTTCTTTATCTTCATTTTTATTCTCTCAAATTATCAGTTGCGATTTTGCTCTATCCGATAGCCGTCTTCCGTAACACAACGCTCTTCAACTTTCAAGGTTCTACTCTTCTCATTGTACTTATTCACTGGGTTAACTACAACAAACCATCACTTTACTTTCTACTTAATCTTATTTTAATCATTGAAGTTTAAAAATTCTTAGATTGATCTATTTTAATCCCTTATAGTCCGAATTCGATCTCCATTTCGCTCGAATAAAAAAACCCTCAACTAAATCCTAAATCTCAAATCTCAATCAATCCTTAAACCTTAAATCACAATGAAACCCTAAATCTTATAACCCATTTTCAATCATAAGTTTTAATTTCATCCTCGATGCTCTAATGATCGAACAAAGATTTTTAATGGTGAAAAAATAGACGTTAGTGATGAAAACAATATATATTAAAATCATGATGATTTTATATCAGATGTTGAGATTAATGAACGACAAAACTGAAAATTTTAGAGAAATTCTGAAAACATAAACATTATGATATATCCCCAAAGCAGGGAAGATTGGATCTAAGAAGTAATCCATTACAGAAACTCACATGCTTTTGTTTAAAAAAAGTTGGAGAATATGCACCTTTTATCTCCCAAATTAATTTTTTAAAAACCTAATGTTTTCTATATAGTTTGGTACTTCTCCACTTTTTCTCTTTGCTTTTCAATTTTATTTTGCGGTACATATGGCACAACCTAGATGGTCTCCCTTACATTTAATCAAATCCAATAACATTGAATATCCTTTTGGTATCAAAGGTCGGTTCTTTATGTTATGATCATTTGAAACCATAGGGCCCTCTCTTATCACATTTACGATACCACATGATTTTCTTTACCAGTTCACTAATTTTATTATAATCAAGAAATTTATACATGTTAAAGTTTATGATATTAATTTTATTTAACTCAATTTAAAAATTTATGGTGTTGTTTGTATTTTTTTAATCTAATTTGAAAATATTTGCGGTGTGACTCGTTTAATGAAAAAAGAAAATTGAGAAAAGAAAAATTAGACACATTCAATCCATGCAAGAGCATATTTTTTTATCAGTATTTGATTAAAAGTATGAATTAATATCGAATAAAATTCATTGTAATATGGAAATTCTTTCTCACCAAGTAATTAGCCATGTAATCTAATAATATCGAATAAAAGTATGTTCTCTTATCGTGATATTTTTATGTAAATCTTATGTATTCTTATTATATGATATCATTTTTCACTCGTCATTGTTCATAAAATGTCTAAAATCATTTGAAATATAAGAATTCAATAACTATACTATCTCTATATATTTTTTGAAGCAAAAAGTATGATGATATTTTAAGTACCAAGTAATAAAAAAATTATCAGAACAATTTTAATTCTAAATCAAAATATTTCATTAATTTTAATGGTTAGATTGGATTTCTATTAACATCGGTCCTTGACGCACGATCCATAAATTCATTATAAGTTCTCAATGAGACCTATGTATATGGCTGAACCTTAATGAGATAGCCACCTCACCATTAAAATTACACTAAATTATCATCATAAATTTGGCTCACTAATAAATTAGTTAAATCGCCCATTTAGTCACCTAGTATTTTATTTAAGTCATCAAAAAAATATTCTTAATTTAATCATTATTATCGTAAAGTTTTAAAATTTTAATTTTTAATATTAAATCTCAACAATGAATCAATAAAACTCTTTTTAGTTAACATAAAATAAATCTAACTCTTAATATTTACTGATTTAATTTCATACTATACTTTAAAAGACGTTGTCACCTTTATCATGTAATAGTTGTCTTTTTTTTAAAGGAAAAATGAGCCTCGTTATAAATTCCCTGGTTACTTAATCGAACCGAATCATATCTTGTAATAGTTTCTATAACATAAAGCAATGGATGCATGATTGACCGAAACAAATTCAGTATCGAAGACGACAAACGTTTGCTCTATTGACTCATCATCCTTATATGATCATACATTATATATTATCAATATTTAATGAACACCAAAGCACAGCATGCATTATTATAGATGTCACTTAGTGGATTTGGGTGATTATATATCATGGATTCTTCCTTGTTTTTATTCTAAGTATTGACCATTGCATTAATTAACCGCTCTTGACTTGAATGACCTTCTTCAAATTCACTTCTATCTTATGACTATTGAAACTGTTGGAAGGATTTAGATATAAATATTCATTAATTAATTAATTACAATGAATGACTTTATTTTCTTTTATTTCACTCATCGTATTTTCAATTTTTTCAATTTAATTATTGAACTTTATACATTGATTTTTTTAATCACTCGACTATTTTCTCATTAACAAAGTTATTGTTGCGGAAGACGGCTATCAGATAGAGCAAAATCGTAACTGATAATTTGAGAAAATAAAAATGAGGATAAAAGAGACACAAAATTTAAGTGGAAAACCCCTAAATAATATAGGGTAAAAACCACGGACAACGGTAGAAGAATTTCACTATGAGAAAATAGGAATTACAACTTCTCTCTATCTACCAAAGAGAAAACAATGATAATTCTCTCTTGATAAAAAAGAGAAAACAACTCTCAAGAAACTCTCTAAATTCTCTAGTATTAGAAGAAAGCTAGAATGCTTTGGGATGGTTTTGAAGCTAAATGAGCTAGGGTATTTATAGTTAAAGCTTAAGGACTAATTTGTAAATACCCTAAATTATAATGGCTAAAATTGAGGTTCTACCATTGTTGAAAAATCAACAATTGTGTACTGCTTTTTGACAATTGTATTCGGTGGATTAATTAAATCCAACTTTCCACCGAAAGTTGGTTTAATTTTCAACAATCTCTGACTTGAAGATTTGATTGAAACAATCATATCTTCACACCATTCTTTCTACCTTGTACCATCATGTTGCTTACGTTTCTGACAGGCCACAAGAGGATCGACACCAAGTAAATTTATCGGTATTGATCGCTTCCTCATGAAATCTGCTATGTTGTCTTTGGTATGGATCTTCTGCATATCTACCGTCCATTCTTCCACCTTTTCACGAATGAAATGGTATTGAACTCGTATGTGTTTTGTCCTTGAATGAAATGTTGGATTCCTTACTAGATGCAAGGCACTTTGACTGTCACAAAACATAGAGACATACTCTTGATTGTGCCCAAGCTCCTCCAATAGCATCTTCAGCCAAATTGCTTCTTTACTGGCTTGTGTAGCTACTATATATTCTGCTTCTGTTGTGGACGTAGCCACAACTGACTGTAATTTTGAAACCCAGCTTACAGCTCCACCAGCAACTTTGAACACATATCCTGTAGTATATTTGCTTTTATCCAAATCCCCTGCATAGTTAGAATCTACATATCCATTGATTAGTAAGTTTGATCATCCGTAACATAATGCAACATTTGAGGTCCCTCTGATGTATCTCAGGATCCTCTTTACTGTATTCCAATGCTCTTTGCTTGGATTCTCCATGTACCGACTAATCACTCTCACTGTGCAATGTCTGGTCTTGTGTATATCATAGCGAATATTAAACTTCCCACTGCTGATGCATACGGTACTCGAGACATCTTTATCCTCTCTTTTTCATTGCTAGGACTCACACTGGAGGATAATTTGAAATTAATAGGAAGAGGGGTAGAAATTGGCTTACAATCTTGCATGATGAATCGTGACAATATATTCTTTAAGTAATTCTTTTGTGAAAGCCAAATCTTCCTATTACTTCTGTCTCGGTGAATTTGCATCCCTAAAATCTTGTTTGCTGACCCCAAGTCCTTCATTTCAAATTCCCTAGTCATTTGTGCCTTCAATTCTTTAATATGATCTTTGTTGGGTCCTACAACCAATATGTCATCCACATACAACAGTAAAATAACAAAATCGTTATCACCAGACCTCTTGAAATAAGCACAAGGGTCTGCATTAAGTCTGTTGTATCCAAGGAACATAATGAAAGAATCAAATCTCTTATACCAACACCTCGGCGCCTGCTTTAGACCGTACAGAGATTTGTTCAACCTGCAAACCAAGTTCTTCTTTTCTTTTCTTCAAAACCTTCAGGCTGGAACATATAAATTTCTTCTCCAAGATTTCCATGAAGAAAAGCTGTTTTAACATCTAGCTGCTCTAGATGTAAGTTCAATGTAGCACACATTGCAAAACTATTCGAACTGTTGTTAGTCGAACCACAAGAGAGAATATTTCATTGAAATCAATACCTTCTTTTTGAGCATATCCTTTGACCACCAGTCTTGCATGATACCTCTCAACTTGATTGTCACCATTTCGCTTGATTTTGAAGACTCATTTGTTACCAATTGGCTTCCTTCCTTGTGGTAGTGGCACAAGGTCCCATGTATTGTTTTTATGAAGGGCTTCAATTTCTTCTTGCATCGCCATCATCCACAGTGAAGCATCTGAGTTGTTTATTGCCTCCTGGTATGTTGATGGCTCACCGTCTTCTGTTAAAAGGCAGTATGCAATATTACCTTCTATAACATAATCTGAGTGCCAATTGAGACGTCTTCTCACACGATCTGATTGATGAGTTGTTGGAGCTTCAGAAATCTCTGGTTCTTGTTCATCATGTGTTGGTTCTGCTTCAGAAGAATCACCTTGTTCAAACTTTTTTTCAACATGTATCTGAGTAGTCTCTGACTTTTCAGCGCTATCATCTTCTTTTTTTCTTTGTAGTTTATCTTTTACAAAGATAACATCTCTGCTGATGATCACTTTACGGGAGTGGGATCCTACAAGTGATACCCCTTTACTCCATCAGCATACCCCAAGAATTTGCATTTCCTGGATTTTGGATCCAACTTTGAAATTTCTTGGGAGTTGTACATCACGTACACAATACTTCCAAATACATTGAGGTTTGAATAATCAGCTGGTTTACCAGTCCACATCTCCATTGGTATCTTCAGCTCTATTTTAGTTGATGGAGCTTGATTCACCACATAACAGGCGGTATTGACTGCTTATGCCCAAAATAATTTTTCTAGGCCTGCATCCCTCAATATTGCCCTTGTTCTTTCTAACAAGGTTCTGTTCATCCGCTCTGCCACTCCATTTTGTTAGGAGTGTTCGCCACTGTGAACTGTCTTTTGATGCTTTCTTTCCTGCAAAAGTCATCAAATTCTTCACTTTTATATTCTCCTCCATTATCTGTTCTGAAACACTTGATCTTATTTCCTGAATCAAGTTCCACCCCGCTTTGAAGATTTTGAAATTTGAAAACACATCTGACTTCTTTTTAATAGGGTACACCCAACATCTCCTGGAGTAGTCATCAATAAATGAGACAAAGTACTTTGCTCCGCCTAGGGATGTAACTGGTGCTTACCATACGTCAGAGTGAACCAATTCTAGAACACTTTTGCCTCTGAAATTTGATGTGTTAAATTTCAACCGGTGCTGCTTACTTGTTATGCAATGCTCACACAAAGTAAGTGATACCTTTGTTAAGCCCGGATGTAGCTTTTGCTCCACAATGACTTTCATTCCTTGTTCTGACATGTGTCCAAGTTTATGATGCCATAGCATTACAGAATCTGAACTACATGAGGCAACAGAGGCTTCTTCTTCTAGCAAAGTCTCCCCCTTCAGCATGTACAAGTTTTCTGCTATCTTTTCGCTTTTCAGCACCACAAGCGCTCCACATAACACCTTCATGATTCATTTCCGTGTTTCAATCTTGCTTGAATTATTATCCAACAATCCGTAGGATAATAAATTTTTCTTCATGCCTTTCACATGCCGCACATCTCGAATAACTTTAATTGTTCCATCATACATCTTCAATTTGATGGTTCCCACTCCAACGATCTCTAAGGCATGATCATTGCAACTATACACAGATCCTCCTTAGACAGGTTCATAATGATGGAACCATTCTCTTCTTGAGGTCATATGATATGTTGATCCCGAATCAATGAGCCATATATCTGCAAATCTTTTTCTGCCTTCTACGGTGGTTGACGCTTCACAGCATAGAGCATCTCCATCATCTGAAGTGTTTGCGGTATTGCCTTGTGGATTGGAGTTTTTATTTAGACTCCAATAATCCTTCTTCAAGTGACCCTTCTTTCCACAGTTGTAGCACTTTAAATTCTTCTTGCTCCTCAACTTCGATCTACCATGTTTGTAACTGCTGCTTTGGCCACGTTCTGTTGATCTCCCTCTCATTATTTTCAACGTTGTCAATGCTTCTACTTGTTGCATATTTACTTGTCTGTCTTCCTTGTTCTTGCACCGATTTTCTTCTTGTAGAACAGCAGCTGCAACGTCATCGAAGACTAGACTAGTAACATTACTGTTTGTCAAGTTGATGATGAGTTGATCATACGAATCCGGTAGACTTTGAAGTAGAAGTTCAGCACGTTCTTGCTCCCCTATTTTACAGCTTAAGGATGTAAGCTGAGAAAATAAAGTGTTCAGTGTATTTAAGTGCTCCGTCACTGAAGTAGATTCTGGCTTACGGAGAGTGTACAATTTTCTCTTAAGGAAAATTTTATTGTGCAACGATGTGGCCTCGTACAGTTTGGTGAGATGATCTTATATCTCCTTAGCTGTCTTCTTCTCCTCGATGCTTAACAATACTTCATCTGCTAATACTAGATGAAAGTTTGCTATAGCATTCCCATCTATCTCGATCCATTTGTTGTCATCTGTGAAATCTACCGGCCTTTCACTAATAGCTGCTAGACAACCGTCTTTCCTCAGGATGACCTTCATCTTTAATTTCCACAATGAGAAATTTCTCCCATTGAATTTTTCAATATCAAATTTCGTTGCCATAACTTCTATTACGGATAGCTCTCACTATTTTACTATCGTGAATAGTTCTCTGGAACCTTCAAAGAATGAGTAATAACTTCTTACTTTTTTATGTTGGAGGATCCACCTTTTGGTGGCAACCACAAAGATAATAAACATATATTACACACTCTAATCTGGCTCTGATACCAATTGTTGCGGAAGATGGCTATCAGATAGAGCAAAATCGTAATTGATAATTTGAGAAAATAAAAATGAGGACGTCAATCCAACCGCGAAAGCTAAAGAAAGCTTGAATCATTTGGTGTCATCGTGACTTCTAGCTCGTCAAGTGCTTGCGGCGGTGGACTGGTAGAGGAATTCAACTTGATATCGTCTTCAATGACTTCCGGTGAGATTTATGAGAGCATAGAGGAGGAATATTGGGGAGAAATTTCTGATGGTTACTATAAGGCTGAAATTTATGCGTATGAGTGTAAAACTTGTGGTAAGACGCCAATGACCATAGAAACAAGGTTGGGTTTGTTGAAGTTCAGGAGAAAAATATAGAAAAATGGGAGAAGGATAAAGGAGATGAAAGAATGGAAATGGTGAAATTTTAATTATTTTTTAACATGTTTTTTAATGATTAAAAAAATTTATTTAATTCACGTCATAACACCGTTAGAAAATTAACAGTGAAATCAGTAAAAAATTTAATATTTGAAAGTACAACGAGTAATATAGGAGAGAGAGTAAATTTCGATTGTCAAACGTGTAATTTACCCTTGATTTTGACACCCTATAGTTATATACAGTCTTGCAATGCCATATTTACATAAACAAATGTTTTACTATTACATAAACAATGTTTTTTTTTTGGGGGGAAGCATCTTTAAAAAACACATATAACATATCATGTTTTTATCACAAAAAATGTCAATTCAAAAATCAATTTATAATAAAATTTAAATTAAAATAAATATATATTCAAAGTTATATATAATATATATGTATACTATAACTCAAATTTAAAATCTTAAAATTGTTAATAACTTAATGTTACTATAAGTCAATGTCTCATTACACGTCTCTATGTATGTTCTCATGATCTTTTATTCGGCTTCTAAGAATTCAGTTTAAATTAATATTAGTATATATCATATTTTATCATATTTAATTGTGAACAAAAATATATTTTAAATAAAAATATTTATATTTAAATTCACTCGATATATAATTTTAAGTGGAGTGATTAATAATTTGTATTAAATCTATTAATTTTATGTCTAATCTTTAGACAATGATTTTATTTGAAGAATTATTAGGAGATGAGGAAGTAGAAATCTATTATTAATGGGTATTGAACACGCATCCTAGGAGAGATAAGCGGTATCAACTGAAATATTTTAATCACATGCTTTATATATTATTGATAATATTTAAGTAATGGTTTTTAATGTATTTTTATGAGAAAGATAATATAACTGAGCCAAATTTATGTTTTATTAATTATCAGTTATATTTAATATGTAAATAATTTAATTTTTATAAAAATGATATTACTTTTTGCAATTTAGGGACATAATATATCTATTTTTTTGAATTGAAAGAGCCTTTTACAGCAGGTGTCTCAAAGAGGATCAGGTGGAATGACTGGTTGGGCTATTTTGGCCATGCAATCAGCATCATTATTGCTTTCTCGTGGAACCCATCTTATTTCTGTAGTCCAAGCTCGGTTCCTTAGCTTGGTGATTAGGCGTACCAGGGAATGCCTGCTGGTGGCAGCATCTTGGTCTTCAAGGAGTTTGACCGCTTGGGCGTTGTCCGTCTGATCTATAGCGGCGTTTTTAAAATAAATGTTGTAAAAGGTCAGAACTATAGTGGCGTTTTTGGAACAAACGTCACAAAATGTCAGATCTATAGCGGCGTTTTTAGAACAAACGTTGCAAAAAGTTATATCTATAACGGCGTTTTTAGATTCAAACGCCGCTAATTACCTTTTTTTTAAACTAAGATTAATTGAATTTGCATATTTCATTTCTGCTATACATCATCTAAATTTAATATCATATATGTTTATCTAATTAACAACAGCCATACATTTTAATTAAGACAGAAGTTATGCAGAAAAATGTGCTCAATTGGTATTATGCTATCCGTAGTAAAGTAATTATTTAAGATAACACAAATTATGTAAAAAAATAAAACAAAATTTATAAAATTAAATTAAAATGTAACATAGTTCAACATTGTTCACTGGAATTTAGTCTAAGTTTTTTCTCTTTCAATTAAAAAAGCACTGTTCGCTAGAATAAAAAACAATCTTCTAGTGGCAATTTGTATTGATCTGCAACTACAAACTAAAAAGTTCTATACAACCATACCGATGGCTTTCTGAATCTGCTTCAGTACTCTTCTTAAAATGGTAATCAGAAAATGGTTGAGATGGACTTTCTAGAGAGTCGGAGATGGTCTCTCTGCAGGACTACCATGAGGACTTCTAGCGGATTCATCTTCACTGTATGTATATGCAGACTCGCTCTCAAAGGCATGTTTAGCACTGAAGAGATTCCCAGTTTTTCCATTCACATAGGAGGAATCAGGGGTCAAGCTACCATTTGGAGATGCTTTTCCTCTTTGAGAGTCGGACACATTTTTCACATTTTAGGGGTGAGCTCGTTTCCAAATCCTGAAATTTGAAGTGAAAAATCACATAAAATTGTTACAGAACCCCATCAAGTTGAGCATAACTTCATTTGCAGAATCCTAAAACAGTAATGGAAGTACCTTCATCTTCAAATTTGTCCCACTCTTCGTCCCAGAGTGCTGCTCCCTCTGGTACTCCAGGTTGCCAACCTTAAAAAGAAATTGCATATGAAAAGGCCAAAACAATCTCTAATTAATTAGTAAATGAACTTTTCTTTATTAAAAAAAACAAAGACAAACAGAAAACTGAAGGATAATTCCATACATGACAAAGATAATAGTTACAAGTTACAAGTTACAACAATTAGCAAACATCCAAATCATTTTCCTTCCACTAAAGTGACTAAAAGGGTTCTTAAAGACCGAAAACAAAAATGAAAATAAAACCGTGGCTCCATGCCAAAAGAAAATCTAAACAGACATTAGCAAGCCAAATGACAGCAGAGAGTAGACCAAAGTATAGAAGTTTAGGGTCATAGGGGAAGCCACCATGTATAGTCCACAACCCATAGGCATAACTATGAAAATCAGTAAGATAGATCGTCAAACACAACCATAGACATGCTCAAATAAAATAATAACTCCACAGAATTGCCAAGCTAATAACTTTTGAAAGGAAGCATTGAACTACAATATGGTTAGGCCCTCTAGAAGTTGGATCAAAAAGTAAAATGCAAGAACACCAAACATGATGGTAAGAATATCATACTACACTACAGGTCATCACTCAATGAAAGTTGTGAGAAAGAACTTTCTTTATTAATAAATGATAAAAGGTACCCATGGGTAGCTCAATTACTGCAGCTGACTTAACATCATGTCCATGTTTCTTGCTTCGTTTAGTCAGGGCTTTCATTAGCTCCTCAAGATCCGATTGTATGCGGTCATCACGGACCTAGATAAGTGATGATGCCTCAGTGTTGGAACATTTTACTCATTCAAAAAACATTTAGTTGATAGGTTTAAATTACCTAAAGAATACCAATGGAGAAACAATTGGAAAAAAATAGAAAAAAGGGTTGTGCCTGATCAAACATAGAGAAATGTAGAAGTATTAGAATGGGCTGATATGATGAGCCAACCTTAACAAAATCTCGGGTACAAGACGTTCTCTCGGAGGCACCAAGGCATCCTTGGCAAGAGCTTCCTCATCAACGGCATGTATCACAGAAACCATATGATCAAATAGATCATCCATTCCACCTCTTAACGGATCCTGCATGATAGTACTCAATTTTAGAGGTGGAAATAAGAGTTTGTCGATGCCATATCGATTTTTTTTAACAAGTTTAATTGCCTAAGGAACTGGAAGAATCCTTCAAGTGCAGAAACAGAGAAAAACATGCGGTAGCGGTAAGACAATAAGCTAGTTGCTAATACTATTAGGATAACTACTATTGACTTTACTATTTCCCGGCAAAGCTTGAAGCAGTTCGAGCTAAATTGACAAAGATCTCTAGGAGATGATTCATTTCCCTGTTAAACTAAACACGCGTTTGACATTGTCATCCTAGTTTATACGTAGATTAAAAGGACCCCAAGCAGACATATAAATGAATATGAAATGTGAAAATTTTAGGATGACCAGACTGCAGCAAAACATGTAATAACCACTAACATGTAAAAACAGATCTGTATGGGATTCTCCATCATATAAAATCACTTCTGCCTCGGCTAAATTAAAAAGAAATAAGCACGTATTTGGTTATCACTGTCAATTTGTTTATACAATTTACCTGGAGAACAAGCCCATACAATGTACAATTATCACTTAACAAAAGAAGACAAACATATGCCATAAAACATATAAAGAGATGCATATCACTTTAAGCGGCTTGCTCATATGTATATCTTCACATTTCAAGAAAGCCTTAATGTTCTAGAATCAGTTTAGGAAATATTTCCACCAACCTAAAAGAGAAGATTTATAGGGTTTCAGTGGCTAGTTCTTCGGTAGCAAATGCTCATATAAAATATTAAAGAAAAAGAGAGAAAACCTGAAGAAATTGCCAGAAACCTAGAAGCAATCAACATTGTGCCAAAGTTCATTGTTATAATAGTCTTGCCCACCGCTCGAGAAGAAACATACAGAAGATATTGTTATATATATTGCTATAAATTAACCCAGAAATAAACAAATTCCCAGGTAGCAATCTCCTCTACTATTTCAATCTCCCTTTCCAGATGAACAAAACAAGTGTAAGAAGAACCTGAGATTGAACCGCTCATAGTTCTAGCAAACAACTTATACTTAATCTAAACCCTGAAATGAAAATAAAGCTAATCTTTCACCTTACTGTTGCGAAAAAAATAACAACCAGACAGGAACAACAAATAGAAGAAATAACCCAGAAGGTATAAGAAACATTGAACTCGACGGTACCATTTGTTTGTAAAGAAGAAGATGAAGAAGTTCGATCGTAGAATGTTGTCTCGCTTCAAAAATAAAAACACCAATCACAAATGGCAGAAGCCAGCAATAATACAGGAAGCAGAAAAGGTTAGGGAAAATAAAAGGTGAGATCCGCGGGAAGCAGAAAAGGTTAGGGAAAATAAAAGGTGGGATCGGGCTGAAGGTAGACAAAACTTTTAAGATTTGCGGCGTTTTTAAACTCAAACGCAACATACAAAACTATTGCGGCGTTTGTAAAAAAAAGGCCGTTAAATAACTACTTTGTTGCGGCGTTTATTGAAAAAACGCTGCTAAAGAACTACTTTGTTGCGTTGTGAAAAAAGTCGCTAAAGTAATACTCTATTGCGGTGTTTGTTGAAAAACGCCACTATAGATGAACCATATTGCGACGTTTGTATAAAAACGCCGCTAAAGTACTACTCTGTCACAACGTTTGTTGAGAAACGCCATTATGGATGAACATATTACGGCATTTGTATAAAAACGCCGCTAAAGTACTACTATGTTGCGGCATTTGTTGAAAAAATGTCACTGTAGATGAACCCTATTACTGCATTTTTATACAAACACCGCTAAAGTATTACTCTGTAGCGGCATTTTGTATAAAAACGTCGCTAAAGTTACCATTTTGTTGCGTTTGGAATGTGAATGCCGCTATATGTTTAAAGTTAGTGGCATTTACTATTAAAACACCGCTAAAAATGCCGCTATAGAACAATTTTGTTGTAGTGTAGTTCTAAGCCGAGGAACCAAGCTAGCTTTAAGCCTTCAAATATGCCCCATGATTCAGTATTTAGGATGGTTGACATACCAATACCATGACAGAATCCATGGAGCCACTGTCCATTTGAATCTCTTAAGACTCCTCCGATAGTGCCTGCTCCAGTTTGGGGTTGATGTTGCCATCTGTATTGAGGCGGTACCAACCTTGTTGGGGAGGGTTCCATAGGTTTGCATCAGTGGTAGACCGGTGAAGAGTCTTGGAGAAAGCGGTTGTTGAACAATTCTCATAGTAACGAGCCCATGAAATACTATTGTGCATTAGAATTTCATCAGCAAGTGTATTTGTAACATCCCAAATACCATATTAGTAACAAATTTGAAAGATTTTAAAAGTTTGTGATCAAATTAGATAAATTGAAAAGTTCAGGGACTTAATCAAGATATCTTTATGTAGGATTGAATAACAAAAAGAGGAAGCTAGAGGGGCATATTGGTCATTAGATAAGGAAAATATAATTAATAAATTATTGTGGTTATATTATAACCACGTGTAGTTGTGGGAGGCAAAAACCAAAATTCAAGAGAACTCTTCATCTTCTTCCACCTTCAGCCGTTAGACCCATTTGGAAAAGGTGAATTTCATGTTAGTTGATTATTTCTTAAATTTAAGCTTGGTTTATGTTCTTTAGATAATACTTAAGCTTAAGGAAAGCTTAAAATTTCTTAAAACCAAAAGATGAAGGAGTTAGGAATGATTTAATAAAAGAGGTGGTTAAGTGAAATTATGAAGAGAAGTTAGTAAGTGAAGTTTGAGACTAAATTTGACTTGTCATTAGTTAGAATAAGAAGTATAAGGTGTTAGAAATGAAATTAGAACATGTTTGAAATTTAACAAGATATTTGGTTTCATGAATTTGGATGAGATATTGAAGGTAATGATGTGTTATATAGATATAAACTGATTTGGGTAAGTGTAGTTAAGTTTAGAGGAAAGAAGGGAGTTCATAATGGAAGGTTGAAGTAAGTATTGGTAAATTTTTGAGTTTACGGAGTGACTTCTGGCAAGGAGTATCGGTACTGATGCATCCAGTACCGATACTCCAAAGGGAAATGGGTGATATTTTGAGTAGGATATCGATACTTTATGAACAGTATAGATACCATAAGCTAAAAGATGATAAGATATTCAAGGAGCATCGATACCTAAGGGGTAGTATCGATACCATTAGGCAAGTATCGATACCATTTTTGAAATAAATTCCAGAATCGGGAAAAGGTATCGATACCAAAGCACGGTATCGATACCACAGTAAAGGAAGTATCGGTACCATACTTTGGGTATCGATATTACTCAAAGTGAAAAGGTGAATTAGATACTTCTTTTAGCTTAGATTATTGATGATTGATTCATAAGGTTTAGAATTTTAATATTCGTATCAAATGTACATTGGTGTAGTTATCAAACATAAGCAAGTTCTGGAACAGTCTAAGAGTTAATTAAGATCGATCAATTGAGAGATAACAATTTATAGGAGTTGATTTGGACTAAGGTGAGTGCATCATATAGTATAGATGTTGTTTTATGGAAATAAGACTTGTGACAAGTCTATTTCCTATATTAAATTTCATGGCTCAATAGTTATGAACATGCATATGTTATGATCATTATGAGTACATGCACAAGTGATATATGTTTATATGTTTTGATATATGCTATGTGATCCATGTGAACATAAATGAACAAACATAAGCTATATGATATGAGATAAATGATTATATGCACATATGATATATGTTTTGAGAAATTATATGAGTTATATGAGTACCTGTATGCGTGATGAAGTAGTTGACTAGATGAACACATTAAACATATAAATGTTTAAGCCCATGTTATGTGATATGAGAGTTGTGGGTATAATTGGCATGCCCAAAGTCGAGGGTTCTACGAGGTCCTTCGAGACATATATGAGGTCCTTCGGGACAATTTTATATGACACTCAATGCAAATTTATACGAGCTGTGATGACAGCATATGTGCACAACCTCAATGTACTCGCATACCTTAAGTTCTCAGTAATGTACATGGGCGCATAAAAGATTTACAAATAATTTACTTTCTTATAAGATGTCATGTTATTATTTGTTAATGATTGATCATATATGATATGGTTGAATAGTGATATAATGGTTGTGATTGCATACAAAATAATTGGATTGCATGTTCATGATTTAGGAAATGCATTATTGTATTATGTCTCACTAATTGTGTGACTTGCGTGTGAGGGTTTCACACGTAGGTACCAAGAAGCAGGAAGATCAGAATTAGGATTAGCAGAGACAACATACCTCTACCAGCAAATCAAAAGTAATTTACACAGTATGTATTTTGTTGTAATAATTGTGTTGTCATGTAAACAGATGGGTGAATTACATATGCTCTGATCACTTTTGTAAATATACAATATTCTATTCATGTGAATTATTGAATTTATTTACTTTTCAAAAGAAGTTGAATGATGTTTGTCTATTTTGGTTAAAGGTTTTATCATATTTATTCACATGTATATTTAAAATTTTAATTATTTCTTCAATAAGAATATTTTGAAAAGTCAATGTGACACTTCAGATTCGTATTCGGGTTGAGTACGGGTTAGGAGTGTTACAGTATTCCCATTGAAGATCTCGTCATTGCGGTTCTTCCATAGCTGCCATGTGATGGATGCGAAGAGGGTTGACCATTGTATTCCTTCATTTGACGTGATGCTATGTGAAGATAGGTTTTTGAGCATCCAGTCTATTAAATCCAGTGAGAAAAACTCGGGGGTATATTCCCGAGGCATGACTTGTATCCATATTCGGATGGCTATGTGGCAATCTCGTAAAACATGGAGGGTTGTTTCTTGGGGGGATCCGCATGCATGGCAGGAAGGATTGTTGGACAGGGAACGGCGGCATCTTTCGTGGTTTATCATGAGCTTTTCCTTATAAGCTAGCCAAAGGAATACTCGAAGGCGTTGGGGGATGTGCGAACGTCAAATGACTTTCCAAATTGGGTTGGCTTAGCTCCATTCCAGCTATGTTCT